CGTCCTCCGAGTTGGCTTCTTGCTGTTTTTGCTATGTTTTCAGCCATTATTTCGCCTAGTTCCAGCTGTAGTTCCTACTCTTGAAACGAGTGAAGTGTCCGCCATTTTAGTTTTACAACGAAAACAACTCAATCTCGTCCCCAGGTCTTCTTGGTTAAAGGTGCGTTAACCTGTTGAGGGCTGCATTTTTGACGTCATTTCCTCGTTAAACACAAGACAAGAGGGAGAGAAGAGAGAAATCTACTGAAGTAAATATCCAAACTAACACAACGTAGGAAAACTGCAATTGGCTAGCTTTTCTTTTTACTTAAAAAAGTCTCTCTTCACAAAATGCGTTCCTAAAAAACTCACTTCCAGCGTCAGCCAGAAGAGGATTGAAAATAAATGCACACTCCGTAATTGGTTGCTAACAGTAGCCAATAAGAAAACAAGGATTTTCGATCGGCGGCGCGGGTACTAAATTAATGTACAAGGTGGAAGCTCAGCTTGAGCTTGACTAGACGGAACAGCTAACCGCTGTCGCCACGACACAGAACAACTAGAAATGCTCGTGTAAAAGCAATTATTATAAAGCATAAAGCCGACCCGGCAACTTATGAGGTTCGCGTTGAGAACCGAAACCATGGTCGAGTTAAACTAATTCAAAAGTTATCAAACTACCAAGGGAGAAACTACGCGCTCTAGTCTTAAGAGTCACAAGTTGGAGTTTAAAAATCATTGCTTAAAGAGCAATTTTGACTGAGTCAAAACGCAATTCTCCGTAGTTGATGTAGCTTCAGTTTAGAAAATCCTTCAATAAGAACGATCCAGACCATGTTTTATAAGCCCGCAAAACTGAGCACCCCACCCAAACCCTTGTTTTCACTAAAACCGCTGGACGCCACAACCTGGTTGAAGTAGCTGTTATCTAAGGTCTTCCTCCATTTTACGCTGCAATCCAGAATCCATTATTGTTCGAAATTTGGACCTGTCAATCAATATCGGAGAAAATTTTCATCCTACAAAAATGTCCAGGCCTGAAAAATGACTAAACGAGCTGGGCCCAGCGTGACAAAACAGTCAAAACATTGAAGGAAACCACATGACATCGCCCTCAGACTCGTATTAGTTATTTAAGTTTAACCAAAGCTGACAAAAAGTGATGAATCGATAGTACAGGCACATTCTTGACTAAGCCAAAAATCTGCAGGAGTATGTTATCCGGCGAGGCCGTTAGCCGAGACGGATAACACCCTCCGAGATCGCCATAATTCTTCATATGATACGAAAGCTGAATTCAATAATAGTTTTAAATATTCATTCAAAATAATTCCTAGTTTAAAAACATAGCCAAAACATGCTTACCTCCATCGACGTTAAGTTCCTCTTCAATAGTGCACGTTTAGGGTTGTTCAGCTCCGCAAATATTCTCCAAATAGCAGATGTCGCCCTCTGAGTTGTCTTCTTGCTGTTCTTGCCATGTTTTTAGCTATTATCTCGCCTAGTTCCTACTCTTGAAATGAGTGAAATGTCCGCCATTTTTTGCTTTCACAACCAAAACAACTCAACCCCGTCCCCAGGTCTTCTCGGTTAACGGTGCCTTAACCTGCACGAACGCTGCATTTTTGACGTCATTTCCTCGTTAAACAAAAAGTTCTTCCAAATTTGGTCATCAGTAACTGGTTATGGTGAGTTATTAGTGTGCTTTTCGCCAATCAGAATCGGGTAAATATTTAGGCGAGTTAAGGTCCCAGCGTAGGCCTCCTTGTGAAACAAGGACATAGGGTAACTTTCAAGGTGCAGTTGGGTAAAAAAATATCGGAATTTACTAAGTAGCATTAACCGACGGTTAGGAAGTGCGGGCGAACATCTGCTTTAAGCTTAGAGATGTGATCGATGAGAACCGCTTTCATAATTGTGCACATGAATCAGAGAAAACCCTTTCAGATCCAGTGTCAACAATTTGCCTGCGAACGGTGGATGCGGCTTTATTCGCAGGCAGAATAGCCTCCCAAGCAGACGTTCTTAGGGGTTCGTCCAGCGCTCCTGGCCCCAGGAACGCGTGACGACCCCTTAGAACGTCTGCGTGGGAGGCTACAGGCAGAAATGTTAGGGTCAGAAAGATACAATAAAAACAGTAATGCGTGACATAACAACGCTACAACGTGAAATGTATACAGTAATATGACTGCACTAAGTGTAATTATTCGGTCAGCTATTCAATCCGTGTTCAATGACCAAAGGCTGTTGAGATGCAATAGTCGCGTTATAGCGCGAAAGTTGGAGCGGGAGCAAAAAAATGGAAGGGGGAGGGGGAGAGGAGAAGAGGAAACGCTTGCCCGCAGACCCCACGATTCTGGAAAACACCTCTTGATATTTCACGGTTCGGCTCATTTGTAAATTGATAGCTCGTCAATAACGAATAGATTACCAGATTTGAGAAATTTACTTTGTTCCCTAAAACACGCTTCACGCGATTGCAAAACTGTAATAAAAAGAAGCTTTACGATAAAAGAAGGTTGAAACTCTAAGCGATTGCTTCGGAATTTCTTATTTTCTATAGTTAATTTAAGTTAAATTTTGAACGTTATGTGGCTTTGTCTCATGTGAAACCTTGTCAAAACGTCGCAAAGAAATGATTTGCCCGGAACAATTCACTCCGCCGGCTGTGAGTTTTGCAGAGGGGGACATTGGGGGGTTCCCAATACCGTAATACCATAAGAAAAAATGGCAAATACCAAAATACCCCGTCGAAAATCGTCCAAATACCGATACCGCATATTTTAATCACACTTATAATCGGTTCCCCATACTTATGGTTGCTGCCATGTAGCGCGTTTAATTATCCCAGGCATATATGCACCAGATTTCCATGTTTTTGTAATATTTTCGTTTTCTCAAATTTTCACTGAAAAGTAAACTACGTTCGTTCAACCTTTTGGTAGGTCGACCCAACAGCTAATCAACTCCAATGAAAATAATTCTTGAAAGCGCGAAAAACAAACCAACCAAAACCCTTTCTACGCACGTCTAGTGCGAGTTTTGATAAGTGGGTCTAGTCTAGCTCGTCAGTCTCTCACGGGGTTAACTATCTCGACTGTCTCTTAAGCCGCGCCGGTAAGAGGCAAACTTATTAAATTTTCTCGTTTAACTTTACAAGGCGTTTTTCAATTCTCGAAACCCGACATCTAAACTTATTCTTGTTGCGATAATGTTCGCCTCCTTCGCCCTCTTCATAAACGATTGCCACACAGTCAATGATGACCACGCCGTCTTCAACCTCAGCAACCTCGGCCATTGTGAGAAAACGTGTAGGTCCTCGAACTACCGGCACAGGTTCACAGATCGAAAAGTCTGGTAAGGTAACTCGAGACGACTCATTGTCATTGGATGCAACAACAATCACATTGTATATTATCGACTATTAACTGTCACAAAATGACCCACAAATGGTGTAATCATTTACCGTTATGTCTCAAGACTTCTAAATATTAACTTTTATTGACCTTTATGTCCTACTGTGTTTTGTTTTGCGCATTTATCGAAAGGAAAGAGCAAATAAACGGTACCGTAATACCTTGAACAATCTTATTTCACCGAATACCGTCAGCCAAAATGATGAAAAACCGCATACCGCAGAGCTAGATGATACCGCTATACGGCACGTGAAAATTAAAATTACCGAAATACGGCATGAAAAAAAAAAAGCCCGATACCGCAATACCGTAAACCCTTATGTCTCCCTCTTTGCAGAGCGGCTGCTCTCTATAGGTCAGCCAGTGTCGAAAAGTTATCTACAATACATGCCACTCAATTGGCGGTTGTAGCTAGTGTCTAGTACCGATGTTCCGATTTACGTTGATGTTATCTCCAACAAATTTACAGTCCATTTTTTCCAGTCAGATACGCACGCCGTCATTCCCAATAAATTGGCTTTCACTAGTCTCCACTGCTCGATCTCCTTTTATACTTTTGATCGAAGGGACTCAGATCTGATAAACCTTCGCACAAACATGATTCAAATAAATATCAGACCAAAGCATTTGTAGTCTGAGACCACAAATCAGATCAGACCAGATCTACAACGCACCGTAAACAAAACATCCCTGCTTTGATTGATGTTTCGAGTGCTAAGTAATCAACACCACCAGCACCGTACCAATCAAAAGCTGCATTCGTGGGCGAGCGCAGTTTTTCAAAATCGCGGGGCTTGCAGCAAGCGTTTCCTTCTATTCCCTTCCCCTCCCCTGTCATTCCTTTTTTTTTTGCTCTCGTCCCAACGTTCTCGACGAACTCGCACGGAAACGCTTGCTGCGCAGGCTAAAACCGCAGGGAACTTTTTGACCGCTAGCGGAAGGGGGTAGTGGTTGGGGAAGAAGAAAATAGGCGGTGACGTTCCTTATTTTTCTTTCTCGCGCTCCGTGCACGTTCTCGCGCGCTAGCGAACTCGCGAAAAGAAAACTAAACAACGTCTGTTTACAGGCTAACGAATTTTTGGATATAGTGTTTTTCTATAAAGCTGTCATGAGGACCCGCATATGACTAATTTTTGCACATTACATGACAACTGTAACTGTTATTGGTATCCAAATATTTTACCTTTGGTTTGTCACTAACCTCCAGTTAGTCGCGGTAAACCCAAGGTCCTCTAACTGCGCTTCGAACAACCGGCAATGTTGACCCCAAGTTAACAAACCTGCGGTAAGGAAATTTAACCTCGGGCTAGGCCTAACTCGAGGTTAATTTGAACCCGTCTTTCGAGAAACCCGGCCCAGGTTGACTGGAAATTTGAAAAGCATTTCCAATAATTTGTTGAGTTAGTTGAAGGCTCAGAACAAGAAAATCGGCGCTGCTACGCAAACGTTACTAACCGGGGTTAGATTACGTATGCGATGCAGGCGAATAAATATTGGAAAAATGTTTTCTGCACTGGAGGTAACTGTAACTATTTAAAAACTATTTTTGCAGTGCTCCCCGGAATTGCCAATGTAAGTAATGATCAAGTGGTTTGTGAAGGCTCCTTAGTTACTTTGAGTTGCAATGCAACTGGTAGACCAACACCAACCATCACTTGGACGAAAGTAGTAGATAATGGTACAGATAGTGCTCCTCTGCTTCCAGTTGTAGATGGAAAATATGTCCTGAGTAATATCCAGAGAAGTGCAAATGGAACATACCGATGTACAGCTCACAATGGAGTAGGCACCACTGTTGATCACACAGTGAGGGTGAAAGTCGAATGTAAGTTATCTTTTTTGCATTTTTGTGATTTTAATTTCCAAACTTCAATGATGCTGTATAGGTAATACATCTGTGTATGATGCATCGTACATGTATGACCAAAACTGCATCATGTTGTCCCCACACATAATCTTTACCTTAACAATCACAGCTCTAAAAACGCTGTGTTAAAGTATTTCCATAACCTGTTTCTGCAACGTTTGAGATTTTTTATAGTTTCATGGCCTGGAGGGACACATCCCAAACGTTTTCCAGAGTTTCAACGCTCTTTAAATAACAATCTGCATTTTCTGTCCCAATCCTAAAAGGAGAGCCGTGACAAGAACAAGTCAAAGGAAGCGAGCTGTGCTAGTTTTGGTTCAGTTTGAGGTGTCACGTAGGATTCATATGGCGGTCATTTCCACAAAAACCGGTTGTTGACAAAAGATCGTCGCGCAGCGCACATTGGCTCCAGTGATGGGCCAACGATTCACATAATATGTACATTGTTATTCATTCAAAATATTTCTCCGTTTCTGATTGCTAAAAGCACACGCATAATTCACCATAACCAGCTACTGTTGACCAAATTTGGAAGAATTTTGCGATTAATCAACCGATGACGTCAAAAGTGCAGCAAATTTGGTCATCAGTAGCTGGATCTGGTGAATTATGCGTGTGCTTTAAGCCAATCAGAATCAGGAAAATATTTTGAATGAATAGTAAAAAGAATTATTCAGATCTCGGAGGGTGTTATCCACCTCGGTCTTCGGCCTCGTTGGATAACATCCCCCTCGATCCGCATAATTCTTCTTAAGATACTCGGCCTCATTCATTAACTGCTAATTAAGCGACCTTTTTATTTGTGTGCAACGGTGACTTGTTGAATTATTTTTGTACAGAGCTTAATTGCCAATCATTGTTGCAAAATAAAACGTAATAACTACTTACGGCTAATGGCATGCCGTCACTGTGAATAAAACATGTCAATGTTACATGTGCCGCAGACAATAAGCCATTTGCACGATGACGTCTTTTTACTACTAAGGGCATGTTTACATGGAGGTGGGGACCTTAGGTAGGTGAGGTAACCCGCCTGTCCACATAATCTGTCATTTCAATTTAATCACGTTCACATGATAGGTGGGGTAACTTACCGCATGATGTTACCTCACCTACCTGAGGTCCCACACGTCCATGTTAACAGGCCCTGTGACCAGAATTCATTTAGTTTTTTCTGTCATGTTTAAATTTCATAATTCCAGTGACGTCAGTAAATGTAGTAGTAGTAGTAGTAGTAGCAGCAGCAGCAGTAGCAGTAGTAAAATAACGCCATCATGCAAATGAAACGTTTCACTTGCGGACACACTAACGTATAAAAGTGGAGATGCAATCTTCTTTTATTTTAACGGTCTTCAAATATATATTTGCTCAGTTGTTGGGTATCTGCATTCACCTATTCTTTCTTACATTTCACCTCTAGATTCTCCTGCCGTTGAGAGAATTGTTATCTCGTCTAATTCAGTTAATGAGGGTCAGTCTTTTAATATGACTTGCGTGACATCTGGCTACGCAGAGCCAAATGTTTATTGGATCAAAGGGAACAATGGTGCGCGCATTAATGGCAGCGTCCTGACCTTCACCAACATCAACAGAAATGATTCTGGACAATACAGATGTGAGGCAAAGAATGCCTGTGGGAGTAACAGTAGAGTTCAATCAATTGAAGTGTTCTGTAAGTATGAAACTACCCCGTAGCGTTTTTTTTTCTTTCTCGTTGAAGCTAATAAATGTTTTTTTATTAATAACAGCACGATCTTGATTATATTACCTAAAATAAAATAACATAAACGTGTATAAAGTCTTAAAATTAATACCATAATCCTTCTGTTCTTCGCTTTCTTTTAAATAAATCATTTAAATGGATTGAACGCAAGGCTTGAGTACTTTTTCTATGCAAAAAGAGTTACTCCTGAGTTCATAAAATAGATATTAGTAATAATAATAATGATTGTTGTTCTTCGAATGAAGCAATAATATTCTCGTTCCGTAATTGGTAATATCTTGCCCATCTTTTTTCAGTGATTAATTCATATGTACATAATAGTAACGTACGGTGTATCATGTTTTCTCTGAGGACAGACATGGGAAAGCAAATGATAATCTTTTTCCCTACTAATAACTTTAACCAATCTTTCACTTTTAATATATAATCGCTATAATCAATCTTTACACTTTCATCTTTCAACTTTTTTATCAAAAAAAGACAAGTTCAGGCTCGAAAAGCCGACGAGTCTGTCCTTTTTAGAATAGAGGAGAACTGACTCATTTTTTAGACAAGCTCACTTTTTCAGTGAGAATATAAAGCCGTAAACAAACAACTGAAAACAAACGCAGTAAATGGGAGTAACTAATGGTCGTGGGTCGTGGGTGCAAAGTCGTGGGTCGTGGGTACCATTTCGTGGGTAGCTGGTAGCCTTACAAAAACCCGAAGGGTATACAGGGTGTAACGGCTACCACGCGTTATTCCCGAATATTGATTCGTTATTGATTTAATTTGTATTGTATTACGTTAAACCGCAAGATGACGTTATTCCTTGTCCATTAGGGACGCGATTTCTTAAGTTCCGCTCAAACCGCCTTTTTGTTAGTTGGCTTTGTTTGGGCAAACGATGAGTCGTGTTCGTCGTTAGTACAGTTTGTCCAGTTTATCTTTGAAGTTGTTTGGTCAAGCTCTTACAAGCGGGACTGTTATGTAAGTGTTTAAGTTTCCTTTTTATACCTAACCTTTTCGTTAAGACTCCTTTAGCTTACACCAGTTTTTTCATCGCATGTTTTCCTCAACCATGTTACCACTTGGCATAGGTTGGTTGATGTTGCTTAAAATGTAACTCACCTTTCACTTGGTTATTAGTACGTTTTAAAGTTTGTTTTTCAGAATCTTTTCAGTAGTTTGTCTCTTTTGTCATTTATATAGTTTCAGTTTTTGTTTGTATTTCGACCTTATGGTTCTACGGATCTTTATAGTTCATCGAACTATGAGGCCGTGAGAAAAACGTCACTGGTTGTTAAGGAAACGCCAGCGCATGCGTGATAGGAAACGCGTAGGAAGCCGGCATAGGTCTTTCTCCTTTCTCTCATTTTTGCCTCGTCGTGAGAGACCTCTGCTAGCAGGGAACAGTGAAATCAACCTCTAAATAGCCATAGACGATCTTTAAGCCGGCCTTCCCGTGTTTGCTTTTTTCAAAGATGAACTCCTCGAAGCAAGAAAATCATTCAAGGTTTTCTTTCTGCAGCCAGATTTATCTTCCGAACGGTTTCTTTCAACTTGCGGTGAGAAAATATGTCTGAAGGTCTTTTAACGTTCTCTAAACTTATATCAAACCTGATTCGAGGTCAGATCATTGACTCAAATCTTACAAACGTGCATAAACTTGCCGCATAAACTGTGCTGGACTTCATGAAATTAGATATAACAAAAACAAACAACAAATACAATAATTACTCAAGCTTACCATTGGAGATTCAGTTCCTGAAAGATATCAAGGAAGGCCACAGTTGCTTGAGACTTTTAAACCCTCTTATGCATTAAGCAAGGTAAAAACGAAAACGATGCCATCTGAAATCGGATCACCGAATTTTGACAGGCGACGCAATTCTCATCCAAAAACCCAATAAAGACTCTTGATAGCAGCTGTATTTCATTTTGGGCTCCCAAACTAGCTAGAAAGTGTGAGAGTAAACATTGGTTTCCCTGTGGTGCGGACGGACGGTCGGGCTTACGGTCACGTGACTACCAAATTTTCTCGGATGGGTAGATTACCACATTTCCTTAGCTATGGGGTCTGTCCACGCGCGCCCTTCACGCGCACTTGGAGCTTCGCTTTGAAAGAGTTCTGCTCTATTTTAGCGACAGACTTATCGGCTTTTCGAGTCCGAGTTTGTCTATTTTTTTTTAAATGCAAAGTTGTAAGTTGCTGTATTACGGTTAGTAGCGTAAAAGGTTATATCGTTTGAAATAAAAAAAAAAAAAAAATTATTATACATACACCTTAAGGCAAAATTTTCTTTCAGATATTATGAAGTATAAATGTAAAGGCTGCACAAGACTGCTCGTTCGGGCCCGTTAAAAAAAAAAATTAGAAAAGGAAAGAAAATATAATGGGCTGACGAGAAGACAAAAGTTCCTAAGTCGGCCTGATTTTCCTTTTAGGTCTTCCCTTTTTAGGACAAATACTGACCCTTAGAAATCGTAACCTGTAAATTTCTGCTATTGCAGGGACCAACAATTTCAAAATTTTTTCAATTCAGGTCTGTTTGCGGGATATTCTTTCTTAAACATTCAGTCCTTTAAGAGTGGCTGTCTGTAAGGATCGAGAATCGGCGGTCAGCGACCCATTTGGCGAATCCCTGATATTTTGCCCAAAGGTAGCCTTGGGTAGACTGTTTTCAAAAATCATATTCAAAAGTTCCAACGATTTTGTTTATTTGGGAAATTTGAGAAAAATTAAAAGTGCGGTCAAAATGCGGTCACAGTGCGGTTTTTTGGTTGATTAAAAGGTGCAATTATAAACCTCCGCCGAAGTCTTAAAATGAAATCAGTTGACCTCAAAATAAAAATAATTTCAAAGCAATCAATCTTCTACACTACCAATGTTTTAATCTTTTCAAATATGATAGTACAATGGTTTTTCATGCCATTTAGAAAACATGTTCGGAGATCGCTTTCGATGGCGGCAAAATGTAGCTAATATTCATCAGGATAAAAATGTTCCTGGTATGTCAGTTTTTAACAATTAAGCATTACATAGCTAAAATATAGGTCTTAAAGATTTACCAAGTAAAGTTTCAAGGTCGAACTCGGAACGCTTCCCTTCGAAGGAATCGGAAGTCTGAGCAATATCAACGTGCAAAATGGCGCTGGATTTATAACAAACATCTAACATTATAGTTACAATCACTTGCGTTAAAATATCAAACTAAATTTACCTTTGACAATTTTAAGTTTAAGCATTGCAGAGCTAAAATATAGGTCTTGACGATTTACCAAGTAAAGTTTCAAGGTCTAACTCAGTAAGCTTCCTATGAGACAAGTCAGTTAACTTTGTAATATTAACGCGTAAAATTCACTACAAAGAAGTATCAGCGCTTGTCAACAAACATTAAAAAACAGGTTTCTCGTCCCGTTACTCGACCAAAAGGGCACTTTCCATATCTTCTTTCGTTTGAAATTCACAAGTCGTTTTAGATTAGGTTGCAATAAATACATTCGGCCACTCAGACCTATTAAATCAGTTTCAAAATACAGATCGGTTGAAAATAATTACTAAGCTAGCTCCCGCATATCTCAGTACTGCCTGGAATTTTTACTTTAGTTACTTGATCTTCCTAAAGCGCCCTATCCTGTAAATGCAACCTTGTATCCCGGGGGGCACTTGGGTATTTTTTGGGTGGGTATGTGCCGCCCGGGACTCCAAATTGGCACCCCGTTCTAGAAAAAATTTCCCCTAAAATTGATACCCCGTTCTAGAAATAGGACAATTTTTTATACCCCGTTCTAGAATTCGCCCTAAAACTAACACCCCGTTCTAGAAATGGGCCGATTTTTTATACTCCGTTCTAGGGTGCAACAAGAGTACAACGGTTTGCTTCTTAACGCACTGAACCGTATTTTAAAAGCAATCTGTCCTTGAATGCTTTCAAATGGCTACTTACAAAAGTGGAGAGCTTTCGTGCGTTCGAAATATTATACCCCGTTCTAGAAACCGCGTCTGAAATGGATACCCCGTTCTAAACCAGGAGCTTCAAAAATCACGACCCCTTTGGGCGGCACATACCCGTATATAGGTAATGTATGGGAGTACCCCCCGGCCTTGTATCGATGTCTCAAGCGCTCAGGATGCGAGCAGTAAAGTACTCCAAATATTTTTAATACTTTCAACTCATGACTTTTCGTTGAATTGCACCGAAGTGAAAAGGAGCAAACAAAGTAATCCGAACCCAAACAAACAAAGAATGCACTAATTTGTCGCTATTGTAAAATTGGCACTGACACCATGAAACCGAAAACGAAATTTACGTTTACCTTATTCTTTTCTCCATTTTGTGCCCACCATTGCAAACTTTCTGTAAAAACACATCAGAGGCTTCAAAGTTCATATTCAGATCCATTTGTAGCGCTTCGAAATGCGTGCATGCTTGGCGCACAGGAAATTTTATCAGAAAGTCACGCAACCGTGCGCACGAGCACACCCAAGTCAAGTCAAGTCAAGTCAATCTTTATTTAAACACGGTAAAATCCATCAGGAATTTAAAAAATTAAAAATAACCTAACTATCCTAAACAAAATTCAAAACCTGACTACAACTAATCTAACTAAAACCTGTTTTTCATGAATGCCGTGTATAACATTAAAAATGAACATTAACTAATCTTTTAAATTGACTAAGAGATTCGGCTTCTCTCACATGACAGGGTAGGCTGTTCCAGAGAACTGCTCCGCTATAAGTAAAGCTGTTTTTCATGAAATTAGTTCGCGGAAATGGGACAAATAGTTTGTTAACAGAGTCCCTCAGGGAGTAACGCGTTTCATTTCGTTTAACAAACTTAGATGATAAATATTCAGGAACAAGGCCATTTAAAGACTTGTATACCATTATGGATTTCTGTATTTGAAATTGAGTGCTCAAGTCTTTCCAATCGAGTTGTCTAATCAGACGGTTAGCATCAGCATCATAGCTAGAGAAGGTTAAAACGCGAGCGGCACGGTTCTGAAGCTTCTGTAGCCTGTCAAATAATGTTTTACCACAATTACCCCAGACAAGATTGCAATAATCGAAATGAGATTGAATTAGTGAGTTGTATATATAGTGAAGGGTAGGTGGAGGGACAAAAGGTCTAATTCTTTTTATTGCTCCAATTCCGGAAGCGACCTTTTTAGATAATTTATCAATGTGTGTTTGCCACCGTAGATTTTCATCAATAAATATTCCAAGCGATTTGACAGAGGAAACGTGTTCTATCGGAACATTATTAATCGAGAGCTCAAGTGGGTTCGACAAAGTACTCAATTTTTGTCTGGAGCCAATTAGCATGAATTCAGTTTTAGAAGTGTTCAAAGTAAGTTTATTGGAAATAAGCCATTTGTTTAGGTTATCTAAATCGTGACTCAGAGTTAACTGTATTGAATTCACATCAACGCCAGCATAAGTAATGTGGGTGTCATCGGCATACATTCTAGGCTGGCACGAAGTAAAACAGTTAGGCAAGTCATTAATATAAATAAGAAAATAAAAAGGGGGCCAAGGATTGTTCCTTGCGGTACCCCACATTTAAGAGAGCAGATTCTAGAAAGAGAACCGTTAACAAGACATCGTTGTGTACGATTAGTTAAATACGACCTAAACCAATCAAGAGCTGTACCTTGTATTCCGTAAAGGTTCATTTTAGCTAGAAGGATATCGTGGTCAACGGTGTCGAAAGCCTTTTTTAAATCGAGGAAAACCACAGCATTAACATTGCCACGATCAATATTAAAGGCCCAATTATCCGTAGCTTCCAGAAGGGCAGTTGCAGTTGAGTGTAACGAGCGAAAACCCGATTGATGATTAGAAATGATATCTTCATTGGTCAACTGATCATAAACAATCCTTTCAAACACTTTAGCTATAACGGAAATGACTGAAATAGGTCGATAATTATTCAGATCAGATGGCTCACCTTCCTTGAACAACGGAGTAACTCTAGCACATTTCCAATCATCAGGAAATATACCAGAGACTAAAGATTTATTAAAGAGATCACATAGTGAAACTGAAATAAGATCAGCACATTCACGTACAATTTTAGCAGAAATATTATCAAGACCAGTTGCTTTAGATCTACATAATTTGTTTAGATGTGAGAAAACAATGCTGCAGTTAGTCGAGGAGAAGCTGAAATTGTTGTTATTTACCTTTATATTATTGATATAACTTGAATTATTTTCAGCAGTTAGAGGTATTTCATTAGCAAGTCTGGGCCCAATTGTTGAAAAATGGTCATTAAAAGCATCAGAAAGCTCACTAGAATTAGAGATAATGGTATCATTCAATTTCAGTTCTTTCACCGTTGTATTATTCACACGACGGGATGTAAGCTCATTAAAGGTTTGCCACGTTTTTCGAGGATTACCCTTAGATTGAATAAATGCATTAGAATAATAAGATGCTTTAGAAATTTTGATGTCATTGTTTATTATATTTCGCAACTTTTTGTACCTTTTCCAATCGTGTGGATCATTCGATGTAATTGCTTTTCTTTTGGCAGCATCACGATCACGCATGCCTTTCTTTAATTCTGAATTGATCCAGGGTGCTTTATTTGTTCTAGTACGTCTAGTTCGGAGTGGCGCATGAATATTAACAATATCCAAAAACTTCGTTTTCCAGTCAGACCACAAAACATTTGGATCTTCAGAAACATTACAGGACCAGTCTTGCTGAGCGATATCGTTACGAAAACTCTCTCTATTAAAATTTTGGAAATTTCTATAAGAAATGGTTGAGTGCCCTTTTGAAGGAAAAGTGAGAGATAATTTCCTATAAACGTAAATAAGGCTATGATCGCTGATACCAATATGAGAGACTCCGGAACAGACTACCCTGTCAGTATAGTTTGTATAAATTAAATCAATTAATGTTGAAGAGGATTCCGTTATGCGAGTAGGTTCAGTTATAAGCTGTTGAAGCCCAAATAAATCAGAAATTTCACATAAGCGTCGAGTATTTAAATCATATTGTGCAGAGGCCAGGTTACAGTTTAAATCACCTAGCAGATAATATTCTAGGCCGAGGGAATCTAATTTCTCAAGAAATGATTCGTAATGTAAAAATAAATCAATTGAGGAGCAAGGAGGTCTGTACCAAGTGGCTATCAGAAATGGCCTGGAGTTTGGTTTCCGAATCTCTATACATAAATTTTCAAGACTGGGTGCATTCAAATCAGAGCGAACTCCAAAATTAATCGAGGTTTTTATATAAAAACCTACTCCTCCTCCTTGTCTGTTTCTATCACGACGAATAAATTCATAGCCTGGTATTTGGACCTCACAACTATTGATAGAGTCATCAAGTTTAGTTTCATTAATTGAGAGAAAATCAATGGAGCGATCGGCAAGGAGAATTCTTAGTTCATCAATATGCTTTGTAAGACTATTAATGTTTAAACCTGCAATTTTAAAACCACGACCAGAAGGAAGAAAATCAGAGAGAATTGTACTTTCAAATGAATCAACGTTTTGATTAGGAATACCTGATGATACGTCACTCGGTTGAGAAGCTAGCGTGGGCGTCTCCTGTTGCGAGCTGGAGAGGGAAGGTTTCCCAGTTCCATCAGAAGCTTTACCAGTTGTTGGATAGCTGAGGACTGAGGACCCGTCGCTATTGTGCAACAACATTTCGCAACAGTTTGAAAATACAGCGTTGGTCATATATCCTTGTTTAACTCAGTCTCTTCGTTTCTTGAATGGCTCACTGTAGCTACAAAGCACTACCAGGTAAGGTCACCCCTTCCAAGGGCACACCTTGCGGTCAGTCCGCAGATTATCCTGGTCAGCTGGAATGTATTGCGCTCAAAGACTGAACAAAAGATGTAACTGGCCATTTGGAGACCTTATCGAACCTTAAACCTCAGCGCAGATGAGGGTTTGGGATCTGATTAAAAAGTTGCTGTTAGCCAGAGCAGGTAAATTCCATCCCAAAATATAATATTTTTGTCTTTTTATCAGCTATATTATTTTTTTAATCATACGTTGTTCTTTTTATCATCATGCACTTGAGGGTGGTTATTCTCAACACATCATTCTCCTTCTAGGGGTTTTCTCAGTGGAAGAACATCACTATGCCTTGAGCATTTGTCCAAGGCACAGGGCTGATTTCGGCATCCGCTGGAGGACAGGGAAGACCATGTGTACAGTACCCAAAGAATTAGCGGTACATAAATCTACAACTGCTAAAGGGAGCCACCGAGTGGATAGCTTGAAGTCGGCGTTTATTTTCAAAAACACGAACACAGTTATTCCAGTTGGATCACGTAAGTTGCAGACTTTTCTGCGAAGATTGGTTAGATAATGGTAATTTTTTACGGTTAAGAATCACATATAAGGTGGCACACAAGGCGAGGAGTTTGCTAGCACTCTATTAAAGAAACAGTAAGAAATTTCCACGAGACAGTGACAAGAGAGGAGAGAGCGTGCAAGGAGAGGGAAAGGCGTTTTTAAGATGTACTAATTATCACGTGTCCCTTTTTGTATTACGCAGGGGTCATTTTTGCCTTGGGGTGTGGGTAATCCTAGCACACCTTGCGGTCCTCATTCAAAATTATTGGTCTTGCGGGCAGGAAGTTGTCTTCTTTCTATGTATGTTTTAAATACATTTTTTATACAGTATATTGACATTAATTTCTGTTCGTCTGTTCATTTTGTTTTGCCATTTAAAGCAATTTGTAAACAATGCAACGAGTATATCAGCAAAGAGGCCATGCCAAACCAAACTCTAGTCTTTGCTTCAGGTGGGGTGGAGCCCGTCCCCGAGGTCTCACACCTGCAAGAGTTACCCGAGCCCCATTTGTTGGTAAGTAGTAATAAGAAACACTAGTGTAAATGGTTCGTTTAAGTGGCTACTTTAACGATGGTATGAAATGTTTTACTTTCAAAAAAACATTCATCATTCATTCTTTCATTTCATTTTTAATCCTTTTTTACTTTAGGGGATTTCTTTTCATTTCTTTCTTTCCTTCTTAACGGGTTTGTGTGGGTGTTGGCTTATGAATAAAATAAAACAAAATAAGCGTTTTATCATGCTTTATAGTCATTACACAATATATTTGTTTGAACTGTTTCAGGTAGAGGAGGAAACAGGCCGTTCAAGTGCAGAAACAACTAGTCGTGAGTTATCGTCTGATGACCTTGCAACTGAACTGAAGAGGCTGGAGATATCGTCAAGAGAGCGAGATGATGAGACGTTCCTAAGTCCGGATACTGGAAGTCTTGTTTCTTCCATGAGAGACGAGGCCCCAACCACTATGCAAGAACCTCGCAAAAAGTTGAACGAATATCTGGTTTCGAAGAACATCCCGCCAATAACTCAGCCCTGGATGGAATGGGATAAAGCTGGAGAGGGCACTAAGAAGAGATACACCAAAAGGACAGTGGAGATCTTTTCTTCAGTCCTACAAGATCTTACACCTAATTATGCATGTTCTCTTTGGCTAGCGGTCGTCTCGTCCCCTGCCATGAACAAAGCTCTTAAACTCGATGAATTATCACAAACGTCCAAGAATTATCTTCAGGCCTTAGCAGAGGCATATGGTAAAGCTTAAGGGTGGGATACAAGAAGGCAGATCTTGTCTATGATGTCAAGCGTTGCCAGCTTCAATGATACTTCAAGATTTATACCAGGCTTAACTAGATATCGCTATAGCTTGGTCAACCTGCATCGCTTACAGTACGGTAGCGGGGCTCCCACAACGCTCCACCCTTCGCCGAGGATAAAGGCGCTTGCAAGCTTGACGCCGAGGTTGTGGTCAGGGAAATGCGACGCGCCCGTGGAGCAGATGGTGTGCAACTTTACCAGTCCTCAGAGTTCCTAACCAGCTTGCAGATTGCGTCCTTCTTCTCAAGGAAAAGCGCTACACTACGAGAAAAGCCGATATGCGGGCATCTCAAGAGGAAGCTAACTTTAGTGCAGCGAAGGAGGTCGTTGAAACCATTCAGTTCAACCATCCTCTGGTATACGATCAGTACAACCTGTGTGAGATGGCGTTCAGTGGTAACTTGAAAGTCCTCAAGCTGCCGATGCTTCAGCGCTTGTGCGAGGATCTCTGCCTTGATGCACCTGTCCCGCATGTGCGCAAGAAGGCTCCATACTTGGCACTCTTAGAGGAAATAACCAAAAAGTGCACATGCCGAAAGTAACTCTTTTATTAATAGCTTCCTGGAAGTGTTTTAGCGGCAACCAGTTTGATAAAACGGGTTGAAAACGGGGAGAAGGGGTACTCCCTCAAAAAATTGCCAAGGTTCTAGTTGTACCTTTTACAACCTAGTTCCCAGGTTCCCTCTCTTAGGTTGGTACCTATCGCCTAGGGTTTAAAATTCTAAAACGACCGCAGCTGTAGCAGCACCTATGAAAATGAAGGGAACTGTTTTGGGGTTGAACTAAAGCCACTTACGTAATGAGAATATTGCGATCAGAGCCGCCTCGACAGGAAGTAAGAGACTACCCCCTCCTCCCCAAGTCTGAGAGTCAATGACAAAACAAAACAAAAACAAAAAACAATATCAAAGAAAGCTCCCCTACCGGAATGTAGTAATGAAATTTATTTTATAACTGCGTTTAGCAAGACCTAAAACAAAGATCTTACTTTGAAAAATACCCTGCGAAAAATTTTTACTTCTAAACGTACTCCTTCCCCACCCCCATCCTGATAACAGGTCAAAACGTTTATCCCGCGGGTGGTAAGTTATTGTTATTGCTGTTGTTTTTTTTAATATTATTATTCCTACCGGAGCCTCAAAATAATACTTCGTTTTAGAAAAATACTAATTTGAGCAAAATTAACTTGTTTAAGTTTCTAGACCACGCTGGATGGGTGGGAGAGGGCAACTGAAATTGCGTTACAAGTACTGGACTCGAATATCAACACACGGTTTATTCTGACAGATGCCGTTTGTTTCGATTTCTTGACACATGTACGCTTCACGTGTTTCAGATACTAAAAACAAAAACCGTTTGAAATTGTGAAAACTAACGTGGATTCAAACTCTCCCTGTAATGGAAAATGGCTTTCCGCAACGTTGTTTCTGCCTTTATGATTAAATACCGCCTATATCCAGGGGCACCCAACGACAATTTTCGGGAAAATATCTGTTCGGAAGACGATTTGAGATCTAGAATTTTCGGAACATTTGTTGTAAAATTTCTTGCTTGCTCGCCTCTCCTAGGATTTTCGAACATCTAAAAAATGGTAAAATTGCCCATTTTTATCGGATTTTTACCCTAAAAAGGTCACCTAGAATTTTCGGGAGCCTTTTTTCTGGCTGAAATTTTCGAACGGGTAAGTTTTGATCCCTATAATTTTCGGATCACTAGACTTTCAGCTAGGAAATCCGAACAGATGAAAAATTTATAGGGGATAAAAATATGCCCATATCCACCGTTTAAATACTAAAACACGTTTAACAATGCTATGTTTAAGTGGTTTTGAACTATATTCTCGTTGGGTGCCCCTGTATATCTATAATGTGGCACTTTGCCGGTTATTACTATTGTCGCGGTAATAACTATTTTCAACGGTCTTTCCAGCAAACTACCTTCGTTTTTTTTTAAAGTCACACGATTACTATTTCATTCAAGAAAGCTGGCAGAACGATAAATATCTAGGAAAACGTCCTGGGTTGATAGTTTGACACAAAGGCGGCTAGTTTAACTGATTTATCACGTTTGTTTACATTACCTTGCGATAACCAAAGCGGACTATCTACATCAAACTGATCTGATTCAAAGCACTGGATGTGTCTTCTGTGAGCTCTTGGATATTTTTATAAGCGGCAAACTTAAAATTGTCAAAGGTAAATTTAGTTTGATATTTTAACGCAAGTGATTGTAACTATAATGTTAGATGCATAGGATGTATGTTATAAAGCCAGCGCCATTTTGCACGTTGATATTGCTCAGACTTTCGATTCCTTCGAAGGGAAGCGTTCCGAGTTCGACCTTGAAACTTTACTTGGTAAATCTTTAAGACCTATATTTTAGCTCTGTAATGCTTAATTGTTAAAAACTGACATACCAGGAACATTTTTATCCTGATGAATATTAGCTACATTTTGCCGCCATGGAAAGAGGTCTCTGAAGATGTTTTCTAAATGGCCTGAAAAACCATTGTATTATCATATTTGAAAAGATTAAAACATTGGTAGAGTAGAAGATTTCTTGCTTTGAAATTATTTTTATTTTGAGGTCAACTGATTTCATTTTAAGACTTCGGCGGAGGTTTATAATCGCACCTTTTGATCAACCAAAAAACCGCACTTGGACCGCATTTTGACTGCACTTTTAATTTTTCTCAAATTTCCCAAATAAACAAAATCGTTGGAACTTTTGAATATGATTTTTGAAAACAGTCTACCCAAGACTAACTTTGGGCAAAATATCAGGGATTCGCCAAATGGGTCGCTGACCGCCGATTCTCGATCCTTACAGACAGCCACTCTTAAAAGGTGAACTCATGCCGAAGGCTCCTACAGTTCAATTAATAGGGATGTGAATTTATCATAGAAACGGAGGCTTCGGTTTTAGCCCTGGCTAAATCTATATATTAAGCTTGAAGTTTCGTATGCTATTCAACATACATTTTCAAAAGTGATCTTAAGTGACCATTGAATATAATGACGAGTTATATATGTACAAATATTTACAAGGGGTCTGGAAATTAGATTAAGAATTAGAAATCCTTAACAATAGGCAACGGCGAATGGTGATGATGATGATGGTGATGAGAGATCAGGTAAGAACGGGTAATTTTTTGTGCTTGACACGTCAAATAACATGAATAAAATAAATAATACTTTGCTTCATTTTATCCACAAGCCTTGCTTTATGGTTAAAAGAAGTTGAAAAACATGCATTTTCGCTTAAAAATGGCTTCACCACCTACTGCTTATAACGTCATATCTCGTAACCATAGTAACTGATCATCACTAAACATGCCTCAAAATGCGTGCTAAGGATGAGCGAACAGCTATTAAAAGCGTCAGGTGCTGATGTTTGAAAATCTAGGAAAAATCTCATTACGATTGGGGTGCCAGTAACCTTTCGATTTTCCTTGTGCGTCAGTAGGTTAATTCTCTAGAACTTCTCCGAACCGATTCTGGAAGTTCTGGGACCGGACTCAGTCCGCTATCGGTGAAACGTTTACTATAAATAGCCTAATCAACAGGCCTCATTGGATGCAAAGGTCAATCGAAAATGAATATGCTATTTATTATTCATAGCGGAACATTGTCTGTCAGAATTATTAGTTCACTGGTTTTGCTTTAACCCTGGAATGGGAACAAACTATGGGGGAGTATTTGACGGTTATTTTTATCATTACCCTGTACCTTGCAGAACTGTCAGGTAAAGTAGTTATTCTGTGCTTATATACTCTTGAGCGGGCACGTCAATGTCGATTAATTAAGTTTAGGGCGATCGACTTTCGTTTCGATCACTTCAGTGAAGTGGCCATCTTTTATCATCTTCTATCATCTCTGCACAGCTGGCACAGCTTACAGCACAGTTTGAAGCATTCATTTCTGCTCGCAAGTAATATTCCGTAAATTGGATGATATGAAATATCATGACGCGATCGAGTCAATTAACGGAATAACTTTCGTCTTCATCCAATGGGTATGACACGGAAACAAACCGTATTTAAGAAGAAATGAATCGTAGTAATTCTGGTACGCATAGAAGGAGTACGAATTAGCAGTAGAAGTTTGGTC